AATAAAACAGTCAAGAAACAAACAATGTGTGTAAATAAAACAGTCAAGAAACAAACAATGTGTGTAAATAAAACAGTCAAGAAACAAACAATGTGTGTAAATAAAACAGACAAGACACAAACAATGTGTGTAAATAATACAGTCAAAGCGCAATGTGTGTAAATAAAACAGACAAGACACAAACAATGTGTGTAAATAAAACAGTCAAGACACAAACAATGTGTGTAAATAAAACAGTCAAGAAACAAACAATGTTTGTAAATAAAACAGACAAGACACAAACAATGTGTGTAAATAATACAGTCAAAGCACAATGTGTGTAAATAAAACAGTCAAGACACAAACAATGTGTGTAAATAAAACAGTCAAGACACAAACAATGTGTGTAAATAAAACAGTCAAGACACAAACCATGTGTGTCAATAAAACGGACAAGACACAAACAATGTGTGTAATTATAACAGTCAAGACACAAAAAGTGTGTGTAAATAAAACAGACAAGACACAAACAATGTGTGTAAATATAACAGACAAGACACAAACAATGTGCGTAAATAAAACAGACAAGACACAAACAATGTGTGTAAATAAAACAGACAAGACACAAACAATGTGTGTAAATAAAACAGTCAAGACACAAACAATGTGTGTAAATAAAACAGACAAGAAACAAACAATGTGTGTAAATAAAACAGTCAAGAAACAAACAATGTGTGTAAATAAAACAGTCAAAGCACAAAGTGTGTAAATAAAACAGTCAAGAAACAAACAATGTTTGTAAATAAAACAGTCAAGGCACAAACAATGTGTGTAAATAAAACAGTCAAGAAACAAACAATGTGTGTAAATGAAACAGTCAAGAAACAAACAATGTTTGTAAATAAAACAGTCAAGGCACAAACAATGTGTGTAAATAAAACAGTCAAGAAACAAACAATGTGTGTAAATAAAACAGTCAAGACACAAACAATGTGTGTAAATAAAACAGTCAAGGCACAAACAATGTGTGTAAATAAAACAGTCAAGACACAAACAATGTGCGTAAATAAAACAGACAAGACACAAACAATGTGTGTAAATAAAACAGTCAAGACACAAACAATGTGTGTAAATAAAACAGTCAAGACACAAACCATGTGTGTAAATAAAACAATCAAGACACAAAAAATTTGTGTAAATAATATAGTACAGCTTTAATTAGTAGTGGAAATAAAAATATAAGAACTTTCTGCCCATGCCACCACCAGCCCATGCCACCACCAGCCCATGCCACCACCAGCCCATGCCACCACCAGCCCATGCCACCACCAGCCCATGCCACCACCAGCCCATGCCATCACCAGCCCATGCCACCACCAGCCCATGCCATCACCAGCCCATGATAAACAAACATGAAAACAACACCTAAAAAGAAAGTTTTTCGTAGAAATCCTTTAAAAAATGTAATATTGAGCCAATTTTGGTGGCGCCAAAAATTTGACAAAACACGCATACTAGTAACGCACTTTATAAGACTTCCAATAAGTGCGCAAACACCCCTTCCCCCCCCCCCCCAGGGTCGCAACCGCACATTTTTTTCAAGCTCATGAACTCTATTAATATTCTATTCACCCACCCACTTTTACACCACAGATTGATTTAACAAATGGTATTTTATAAAAATACAAGAAAATACTGCGCACCAAACGCACTTGTTATATAAATATATATTTTTTTAAATTCTCATTTAGCGCAGTCATAGGGAATTTCTTTCTTTCGTCTATGTTTACCCTTGTTTCCCTTGAAAAAAAAAGGAAAAACTGTTTTTTAGGGGATGGGGTTGGGAAGCAGGGCTTGGAATTTGAAAGAATTAAAATTAGAATGTGGTGTCAACAAGTCTCTGTGCCAAGTTTCAGCTCGATATGTTGACGAGAAGTGGTTCAATTGGCCGTCCGAAGATTTTTTCCCTGAGCACACAAACGCGAAGTTCAAATATATGTTTTAAAAAATATTATGAACTTAAATTTAACGTCTGCCCTTTCAGCTAACCAACTCCATATCTTACCTTACAAAGTAACCACTGACACTGTCTTACTTCAAGTTCAAAGGGAATGTACAGTCAATTAAGTATATAAATGTCATAGAAAAACAAGAATAGAATTTTGTGTGAAGCTGTTGTGTTTAGAGCTATATTGTGCTGAATTGTGTGTATATTTTGGGTCGAGGGCGGTGCCGAGGAAAAGCGGCGCCCGGGCTGAAGTCCAAACGGAGCCCACCAATATAGAGAAAAGAAGTTCCGCCCTGGCGGATCAGGAAGACGGTGATGTTGGCGCCCCGAGTCTTCGTGACGTATTCTTTTAGGCCTTGTATCGTCTAATTTACGATACATGTCCCTTCTAAAGACTATTTTGGCGCCCCATGGAGCGAGAACCCCTCTCGCCCCCTTTCGCAGGACCATGATTGTGTCATATGCCTTTCGATTACTTTTCCCAGGTATGTTGTGGGAGGGGGTGGCTGTATGCACTTACGGCGCTCACTCTGCCATGGTGGTCACTGCCATGCTAATCGCTGCCATGGTGGTCACTGCAATGGTGGTCACTGCCATCGTGGTCACTGTCATGGTGGTCACTGCCATGGTGGTCACTGCCAATGTACTCACTGCCATGGTGGTCACTGCCATGGTGATCACTGCCATGGTGCTCAATGTCATCGTGGTCACTACCATGGTGGTCACTGCCAAGGTACTCACTGCCATGGTGGTCACTGCCAATGTACTCACTGCCATGGTGGTCACTGCCAATGTACTCACTGCCATGGTGGTCACTGCCAAGGTACTCACTCTTGCTGCCCTCTTAGATGCTACATTTCAGCCAAGTATTTTTAAATGTAATTCTGTTTTTACTGTTGTTTATTCACTGATGAATTCTTCTTGCCAATACGTTCGTTAGTTTGTAGCGTTTTCCCAAACTTTGTTTCATTCATGTCCCTGCTCACTCTGCCATAGTGCACACTTCCAATGTGCTCACTCTGTCATAGTGCACACTTCCAATGTGCTCACTCTGTCATAGTGCACACTTCCAATGTGCTCACTCTGCCATAGTGCACACTTCCAATGTGCTCACTCTGCCATAGTGCACACTTCCAATGTGCTCACTCTGCCATAGTGCACACTTCCAATGTGCTCACTCTGCCATAGTGCACACTTCCAATGTGCTCACTCTGCCATAGTGCACACTTCCAATGTGCTCACTCTGCCATAGTGCACACTTCCAATGTGCTCACTCTGCCATAGTGCACACTTCCAATGTGCTCACTCTGCCATAGTGCACACTTCCAATGTGCTCACTCTGCCATAGTGCACACTTCCAATGTGCTCACTCTGCCATAGTGCACACTTCCAATGTGTTCACTCTGCCATAGTGCACACTTCCAATGTGTTCACTCTGCCATAGTGCACACTTCCAATGTGTTCACTCTGCCATAGTGCACACTTCCAATGTGCTCACTCTGCCATAGTGCACACTTCCAATGTGTTCACTCTGCCATAGTGCACACTTCCAATGTGTTCACTCTGCCATGGTGCACACTTCCAATGTGCTCACTCTGCCATAGTGCACACTTCCAATGTGCTCACTCTGCCATAGTGCACACTTCCAATGTGCTCACTCTGCCATAGTGCACACTTCCAATGTGCTCACTCTGCCATGGTGCACACTTCCAATGTGCTCACTCTGCCATAGTGCACACTTCCAATGTGTTCACTCTGCTATGATGCACACTTTCAAGGTGCTCACTGCCATTTTGCTCACTGCCATGGTGCTCACTGCCAAGGTGCTCATCGCCAAGGTGCTCATTGCCAAGGTGCGTACCAAATTTAAACATAAAATATGTAAAGATGTTGAAAATAATTTGAAAAAAAAACTGACAAACATTCGTCCAGAAACATTCATGTTAATATAAAATGGTATGACTATTTGGAGATACGTAAACAAGGATCAGAATTCAACGTATAGCAAAGTGACAGCTTTAAAAACATTTAAAAACATTATCCTTCAAATAGAGAAAGTATATACATGAGTAAAAATCTTATATTGAACTCTTAAGAATTGTATGCAGCTTATCAAACAGTAACGACATGCTTACTCGCAGATAATCTTGATAATCATTTTAGTTTTAGGGCCGGACATAACCCCAAAGAAATGTCTTTTTGAAATGAACTTGACCTGGTTCTTAATTTTGTTAAAATTAATTTAATTTAAAGAACTTTTTGGACACGCCATTGTCCATCACATCAAAATAATGTTAGTCTTCGAGACACAGACAAATGTAAAACTGCTGACCACAATTTCGACCGTGTCCCGCTGGAGACAACAAGACGTAACAGGACACAACTGGACACATCTGGACATAACTGGACACAGGTATTTCAAAGGCGGGTCCCATGAATGGGACTGATTTAAAACGGTTAACTCGGCGATGGATGACGAAAGACTCAATAGAGACGGTGAGACACCGCCCAGTACTCCTGACACCGTTGTCTGGGTAACAGGGTGCCACTCTCATCCGACAAGGATCACACTAATGCCTGTGAACACAATGCCAGTAATACTTCATGAAAACAGTGTTATTCTTTTTTTAATATTAATATTCGTCAGAAAAGAATACCCACCGCACTTTAGACCTACAACGACACAATGCCTTGCCGATTCTGACACATTCTCTGCATCTCTTGTTCACTCCAAGATCCGACTCACAGCAAAAAAAAGCAACAATAAAAAACCGACGCTAAAGCCATAACAATCATCACGTCATCTATCATACCCAACAACGTCATGAATACAACTATTAGGCAACGTCTACACAATTAATCTCAAAACCAAATACCCTTACTAAAAAATAATTAACAACACGCACAGCTCACAACAATGATTCTCATACCCTTGACAAATGGATATTGACATTACATTGCCAATAGAACATTCATGTTAAAGATATATAAATAGATATTAAATATTCATCATTCATTGAGTGATGTTTTTACAATAACAAAACTCCTTTTGCCGTGCGTCACTCACGCAGTCTGCCTGACCGCGGTACAGATTAAGTCTGTCTATCCGCTCTGCGACCTCAATGTTGAAATTTTTCTTGGTGCCCCAAAATAAGGTCTGGGGGCTAACGTCTCGTACGAACACCGTAGCCTCAAAAACAGCGCCTCCTGGGGTCGTGTGTAGCCGGACCTGGTACAGGTGAGCGTCTTTCTTCATCTTCGAGACATTCTTTGGTAGGTCAACCTTAACCACCTGAAGAACTTCTCCCATTCCCAGAACTGCACACACGGTCGTGTTGACCTTCAAATTGATGGCGGCCAGTGTCGCCTGCGCCAGCATTGTTGCTGGTTCTGTGGAGGTGTCCAGGCGTTCCGCCGTGCTCTGCCCACAGAGGCAGTACTCCTCTGGTATGGGGATATCCTTGCACGTTCTATTTTTAGGTATTCTTCGCAATAAACTTATCCCGTGTTTACTTTTTCTAACAGGGCTTTCCCCATTACCCCGGAAGTACAACAAATCCGTCAGCGTCGCGTGTGTGTCGTAGTGCGTCGTGAGGCGACCTGTGTTCGTATTTAGGTTCCTAGAAATATCCGGGTATTTTTCGAGAAACCATTTTGGGAACGTGAAGATGGCGAATGGTGTGCGACCTTCATACACGCCGTTAAAAGACGACCTTACTGGACCCCATCTCGGCCCGTGGTCGGAGAATGTGATGAGCACGGTGTTATTCAAATACCCGGACGTTTGAAGCAGCCGGTAAAAATTAAACACGTGCTCGTCTGCGATTTTAAGGTTAGTCATGACGTCGTGTGAAACTTGCGTCAGGAACGCCATGGCGTACAACGGTTTGTCATGGAAAGTATCGAACAGTCGCTTGATGTAATCGAAATGAAAGTTCACTTCCGGTTGTTCCCCGACGCACTGATTCCCCGTGTTCCAAATCTCCTTGTCGTGCTCCATAACAACACACAGTGACCGACTAAAATGTGTCGTTGGGTTGACGCGGAATCCTTTCTTTTCGTAGCTGAACGCCCCGATGGAGGGCGAGTCTTCTGTGTACAGAGTCCTGTACCCGGCCCTCGCGTAGTCCCGCCACACGAGATCGAAGCCGTCCGTGTACTTTGAGAAATCCCACCACGTGTTGATCTCGTCCTCGGACCGTCCCGTCAGCAGCGGGATAAAGTTGGGGAATGTGTTTTTCCCGACCTGCGTGTACATGGACATGTCGAAGGAGTGGAAGTCGTTCATCAGCAAGGGATACGTTTTCGGCATGGACCTCATGAAGTGGTACCGTGACACCCCGTCGACGCCGATCATGATGATGTTCAACGTCTCCCTGGGAGCCGACTCCATCTGTCGTTTTTTCAACAGCAGGGCCTCGACCTGGCCAAGTTTGTCCTGCTTGGGGGTGAGTGCAAAGTACATCCTTGACACAGCTTTCTGACCACCGTCCTGGCAAACCACCTTGATGAACTCAGAGCTCTCTTTCAGGACTTGCGACTCGTTAAAAGGTGGATTTAAGGGTCCTAGGTCATTGAGACCTGGTATTATATCCTGATATTGACAGACGATGGGGGTGTCTCCAAGCGTATTGCGTACTTTTGTTCTGTTTATTACCAGTTTGTTTCCATCTATGTAGAGCAGGTCGGGTAATTTACCCGTGCACTCAAGTGTTTGTAAGGCGAGGCCGGACATGGCCATTATCTCAGGGTCGAATGGGTTGACGTAAGGGAAGACACACGCCAGAGATTCCATCAAGGAATCTTCTCCCACAACCCCATCGTCACGCACAACCCCATCGTCACGCACAACCCCATCGTCACGGCTTACAACCGTTGTCTCATTCTTTTCGATAGTTGTATGATTTTGGTAGTAGGTGACTGTCTCTGGCGTGTGCTTTAGTTCAATGTCCACTTCACTGTTCGTAACAGCACTGCTCTTGGGGGCACCTTTCGTTCCATTATGCAAGCGTAAATGTAAGTTATGAAGGATGTCCGTAGGATTGGTGCCACCTTCTGGTTGAGTCAACGTTTCAAGTTTTCCTTTCGAGTTTACACTGAAAATAAGTTTTGTGGTATGTTCTTGTGGTATGTTCTTGTGGTATGTTCTTGTGGTATGTTCTTGTGGTATGTTCTTGTGGTATGTTCTTGTGGTATGTTCTTGTGGTATGTTCTTGTGGTATGTTCTTGTGGTATGTTCTTGTGGTATGTTCTTGTG